TTCTCACAGAGCTCACGGCTTTGAAGGACAAGGCACCAGCTAGCCAGCATGGGAGAAGATCTCTATCAAAAAAAACCAAGACATCCCACTCACTATCCCCAAGCCAGAAGCCCAAGAGACAGGAAGTCAGAGGAAGACAGACACAGGAAATGGGAAACAGAAGGAAGGCTATGGAGGGAGGACACAGTCCTAGCAACCGGGCAGCAGGCTAGTCTGAACAGGAAGGCAGCGAGCGACGGATGCCTTTTGCTGGGATGACAGGGAACCTTAGGAAGAGAAATGATTGTCAAGCCTGCAGATTTCATTTGCATGTAGTAAAGCCCCTGTGTTATTCCCAAACCTTCTGCAATAGTCTGTCATGTAAATCAGCATCCGTGGAGACTCTGGTTCTAGAATCTAGAAACACTGATAGGAAAGGGCTAAGGTAGCCAAGAGCAGAGCTGAGAGAAGGTCTATGAAGTAGGAAGTGTAGGTGCCCAAGCCACCCCAGAAACACTCAACATTTCCCACAAGGTTATTAGCAAGTCACACCTAGAGCACAGAAAACAAAGCCAGGACAGGGTTAATGTGGATGAGAAGAAATAAGGTATCTTCTCTTATATCCACCTACCATCTCTCAAGTTAGACTGTGATGAGAATTTGAGTTATTGTATTTGGGTATTTGATGGAAGTGTGACTCCAGAAGTTGAAGGACTTAGCCATACTCCTGCATACACCTACACGATGATGGCATTACCTCCATTCTTTAGATGAGGAAAGCAAAGCATAGAGCATTTTCACAAGTTGCCTGAGATCAGTTGCTGAGAAGAAGTGGAATTTGAAGCCAGATATAAACTAAGCTGAAGTTCAAGCCCTTTCTGTCCACCAGGATTCTCCCAAAAGACCATGAAACCTTCTCTTTTTTAAGGCTCTGACAAGTAGGGGGGCTGTGGCTGGTACTCGGCAACTCCCAGGAGCTCTTCTATGATCAAAAAGATGCTGATAGCATCACTATTAGCAAAGGGAGGCCTAGAATGACAGGAACAGTGGCCATTTCATGCACCTCATCTAATTCCTGTCTTTTCAAGAACCCAGGCCTTGGATTTGACCCAGGGACCCTTGTGGTGAGTTGTCCAGAGGTCTGTGGGCAGGAAGACTATGTTCTCCTTCAGCACAGAGGAGCCGTCAAAGGGAGGATCAATTCCTTGGCACAAGAGATCATTCAAACTAGTGGCCCAACTTGGTAAAGGACAGTGAAAGGAAGCAAAGCAAAGAGATGTATGTACAAAGTCTTTGCATCTATGATGATTCAACAGAGCAAACAGCCCATCCTTTCCCCAATGTATATATCTTGAGGAGAGGAGGTGAGCTGGCTGAAATGCTATCATAGTTCAGCGAGACAGATGGTGGACTGACAATTAAAATAGCTTCTCAATAATTATGAACCAATGAACATGAACTGGGAGAGTGTATGTATGAGAGAGGAAGGAGACTCAGCATTTCAGCTGATCCTGGCCAACCCAGAGGAGTGATTCTTGGGCATCGCCCTTTGACGGTTCCTCTGTGCCAAGGGAAAGCACAGTCCTCCTGTCCACAGACCTCCAGACGGCTCACCACAAGGGTCTCTGGGTCAAATCTAAGAACCCTGGACACCGTGTACTGTGCAGAAGGAGGACAGTCAGTCACTCAGACCTGTGGGCAGGAAGATGAGGTGGGAGAAGTGACAACTTTCCCCTAAAGAGGCCAAGGTCACACATTCATGACAGAAACTGCTGGGCCGCACCAGGGGCTTAGGTACCACCATTACTCTACTTTGAAGGTCATCTCCCAGGGAGCTGGACACCAATCCTGTTGCCCAGTGAGGCGTTCACGTACAAAGCTCACCGGGTCCCTTTTAGAACTAGGCAGCAGGCATTGCAGTGTTGTTTGCAACAGCAAAATCCTTAAAAACCACCAAGGCCATGATCTTGAAGTCAGCTGGCATATAGATCCTTACCTGAATTTTTCGTTATTAAAGCTCTATCTTCAGAAGCTCTCCCCAGGTTCTGATAAGCATAGATATTTAGGCCAAAATAGCAAGTACTTTCAAACACGAGGAAGAAGACTTTCGTTAACTTTTTCTTTTTTTTTTTTTACTCATAGTGTTAAAAAAAAAATTATTTTTATTTTTAACAGCGGTAAAATAATCATAAAACTTACCACCTTAACTATTCTCCAGATACTGAACATTGTACCCCACAGGTAATTTCTAAACCCTAACCCCTCGCCCCGCCACCTCCTTAGTGGTGTACCCAGTGTCTATTATTTGCATCTTTGTGGTCAGTTAGCTGCCACATGTAAATGAGAACATGCAGCGTTTGGTTTTCGGCTCAATCATCTTTAAGTGTGTAGCTCAACAGCATTAAGTATATCAGCACTGTTGTGCAATCATCACCCCCACCTATCTCCAGAACTTTTCCATCCTGCAAAACCGAAACTCTGTACCCATTCAGCAACAACTTTCCATTTGCTTTTACTTTGGAGCTTTAAAAATCCTATTAATAGAGCATGGTATATGGTAATTCACTTTCCAGCTCAAAAATTTCTGGAAACATTATTCATGAAGTCTTAAAAAACACCAGCACTGTCCTCCGCCCCCATCAGCGAGTCACACGAAGATGGCAAAGAACGGAAGGGACAGAACAAAGAGATGCAGAAACGAAAGTAAATGAATTTTTCATAAAGAAGAGGCCCGGGAAGCACAGATTCAGGGAAGCTGCACTTAGAACTCGGGGTCATCTTGAGTTAGGGCAACTGAGACTGTTGGGTCATCCCTGGCTTTGACCCCATTAGCTTTTACAAAGGAATCTCCCTGGCACCAGGGCAATGAACAAGGCTCATTTTGGGCCTCTGTGCCACCCGGTCTTGGATGCAACTCCCACGAGGTGGCATGCATGAACAGCCACTCAACTCTGAGCAGACTGCTAAGTACCTTCTAGAAGAAAAATGACCCTCAATATTTAGGGAGTGGAAAATAGAAACATCCTGAGTCCATACTTGAAGTCGGATTTCACAATGTAACTCTGTCTCTGTGAGTGTTTAAAGGACCTCCAAGACCTCTTTTCAAACTCACGCACACCAAAAATAACTTCCCAGGGAAATATTTATTTCATGAGACTCTCACAGGCTGCCCTTTGCCCTTAACCAACAACAGATGAATTCCTACCTGCAGAGAGAAACGATGGCCCTCCTTTTCAAAGCAAACAGACCAAGTCTGTGCTGAGCAGAACGGGAGAACAAGGCTCTTCGTCTGGCAGAAAGTGGGCGTGAGTCCATGGATCCCTCTCTGAAGACATCTGTGCCCACAGACGTCCTGTGCTGGGGTTCGGACCCAGCAGGCCCAGGATGCAGGGGCTGGGCCAGTGGCTGCAATTCCAGTGCTAACCAGCCACAGAAGAGTCCCAAACCCCAAATCAGGCAGGGGTGAGAATGTGGAAACATTCTTTCTGTATCTACCTTGAGACCGTGCACATTATTTGTACCAGCAACGCTACTTGACCTAATCTAATTTCAGGAAATAATCATAGACACACAGACACAAAACACTAACAGAGAAACAAGAATGTGTACTTGTTTATAGAATCTAGTTCCTGGAAACAATTGAACTTTCAACTACACGAGGCAGATTAAAAACCTGGGATTTTTGTCTATGGACCAGGGTAGAAGGCATTCATATGACAAGTAATCTCTAATGGCTTTAATGACATGAAAAATCTTTTTGCAATTTAGTAAGGACAAAGAAACAGAAACAAAAAATCTGTCTGGTGTGAGGAGAAGCAGGTAGGTAGATAGATCTGTCTTTCTCACCAGTATGGGGCTTGTGTTTTAAGAGTCTGTGGTTAGCAAATGCAAGATCATAGATAGTATAAGATTGGGTTGGCAAATCAAGATCACAAATACTAAGGAACTGAGGGAAAAACAATACAAATCACTTTAGATATGCTTTTAAAACACAAAACTGTTGTTTGTGTTTTAAACACAAACAAAAAAAGTGGGGGCAGGGACAACTATAGAAATAGTTTCAGCTCTAATACCCTGCCTCCTGGCAGGACCCGATAGTCCCACAGGTAGCCAGACTTGTACCTCTCACTGTGCAAGAGTGGCCAGGTCTCCCTGGAGGAGAGAGTAGGAGGGTGGGGGGTAGCAGAGAGGGGGAAGGTGAGCCATGTCTCAAGGCCTGATGGTGAGTAGACAGGAACATGACAGTTCTCACAGTCTAGACAGGAACATGACAGTTCTCACAGTCCTCCATGAGGTCTACAGGGATGTTCTCAGAGCCGGCTACCTTCCCTGGAGATACCTGGCTAGGGGAAAGAGGCTGCCGCCTACAGGCTCCATGCAGACACAAGCTTGTAGCCCTTGAAAGGCCAGATGGAGCAGCCACAAGCCAGACCAGGTCAGCCTGAACAGAGCAGACACTACCAAGAACCAGGTGGCATATATGAATCCAAGCCTCCTTCTTTACATCCAAATATCATCAGGTGAAATCAGGGTGGGCAGAATACAACCTAATCGAGCAATCGTTTACCGCAAGACAGAGGCATCCAGTGAAACTCTTTAAACAGAAAACGTCTACGTCAACGGTTGAGTTTTAAATGAATTTCTACCACCTCCTAGCCCCTCCATCACTCTCCAGTGTAGTGGGATCTGTCAACGACAAATAAACGTGTTCCCCCAAATTTTTATAACGTTCTGCTCACTTCTGAGGAGACTCCATCATCTTAAAACCACAGTAGGCAAAAACACACTTGGCAAGGGACATCAATAACCAGCTGCCCCCGGTGCTTCTGAGTGGGATTATGAGAAATTTTTATTTGCTTTTTTGGGGGTTCACCTATGTTTTCAAAATATTCTACAATCAGATCCAGGCATTATTTTTTCACATAAGAAAATGACTGCTTGGTTTATTTTATTTGCCTTGTCTAGGCATCTGTTTTCCACCGGCACTCCTGCCCGGCAGGAAGTACAGGAAGGCAACTCACCTGGCAATGGGCAGCCTAGGATCTCCATTCTCATACAGATGCTGCCGTTATCAAACCAGGACTGCGGGTTTATGCGAATGTAGCGGGCCACCATGGGGACGGGCAGCTCATTGAGAACAGGGATCTCCTTTTCACTGTTTCCTTCAAATATCTATTTATGCTCAAGGGGGGGGAAAGGAGAATCTTTTAGAGCTTGCTTATCAAGGTTTAAAAGAATCAATCATTCATTCATCCATTCATTCATTCATCACGATCTTATTGGGGAAAACTTTATGTGTGCTGGGCAATGAAGAGAAAAGAGAAATGAATCAGGATTGGACCCTGCCCTCAGGAAGCCTCTACCTAGTGGGTGTTGGGAGGGTGGTAATTATATATTGTAGAAAAGATGTATCAGTGTCATGGCAAACGGATAGCCAGAGAGCTTCGGGATTTCAGGAGAAGGAGAGGACCAGGCGAAGCTTTGAGGAAAAGGTGATGCTTGAACTGGCGTTGAAGGAAATCTACTTGGATCTGGAAGGATGAGAAAGGTTCTAGGGAGAAGGTACAGCAATGGTGGTAGAAGCCCAAAGACAGAATTCATAGGGAGAAGAGCAGTTGGATCACTTCAGCCAGAGCACAGGACTGTGAGTGGGGTAAGAATGAGAAAGAAGGTTGAAAAGAGAGGCTACTGTCAGAGCGTATAAGACACTGGATACCATGCCAGGAATATGCACTTGAGAATCTGAGGAAAAGAGTGACAAGATCAGAACTGGAGCCAATCATGAAGTTGAAAGATCAAAGTCAAGAAAGAAAGTTAGGTAGGAGGCTGCATCCCAGGAGCATTTGATTGGAGTAAATAAAGGCTGAATGTTACATTAGTCCTACATGGGAAGGGGTCGATGTCCACTTGACTCTCATAGTTGGTTTGAGTCGACACAGAATCAACAGACCTCCAAGGGACTGGTCATACGCTCCTCTCTACAAAACCCTACATAGCCAGGCACCAAAGGCAGGGTTAGAGGGAAGAAGAGACTCACCATGTCTCCAGATCCGTTCTTAACAGTGACCCATGTATGGCTGTCATTGCTCACCATGACCTTGTAGGATGTCACCCAGTCACTCCTACGAGAAAATAAACCATCATTGGGACCACACACTTTAAAATGCTTACCTCATCCATGGCGAGGTGCAGAGGTGAGGAGAGCAGATGCCAGAGGCCAACAACACTGGGCCAAACCCTGGCTCCATGACATTCACCAGCTGTGTGACCTTGGCCCATCTATGCCACTATTTAATCATCCATATAATGGAAATCATCAAAGTGCCAGCATTAGAGAATTAATGTAGGCCTTAAATGGCTTAACACCCTTTAAACACTTAGGATAAGGTCTAGCTGCCACTAAGCACTAACTGTTGATCACGCATAAAAATATACAAATACCTAGGTATTTGCTTGTATTGAAGTGCTATATCACACACAGTGGAAGTCTCATGGAAAAGCAATTTCAGTAAAGGCTGCAAGTTGGTCCAGAAATTTTGGTTGGGAAACTGATTTGGGAATGTAACAAACTAGAGCTTACTGACCACAAAAAGAACATTTTGAGTCTCTAAGAGGCATTGGGTTTCTCCTTGGCTGTCATAGCCACATAGACAAAACCCACCCCAGGAAGAATTCTGGGATGCCTGGACCCAAAGCCAAATCCCTGTCATTATATCCTGCTGCACAGAAATTACTGGGGATAAAACAGCTATAATATGACTTCCCAGAGTAGAAGTCAATCTGATACGTGTGGCAAAAAAAACCCAAAAAACAAAAAACGTTCATGTAGAGAAACATTTTGTTTCTCTCTGTCTCATTTCTTAATAATATGAATTGTTAAACAATATAGAAAAGTATTCTTGAGTATCCCTCTTTTAATGTTTAAAATATCGTAACAAAACACCAATCTACTCATCTTTTAAGAAATTCTGCTTGTTGAAGTATTTGAAATCCTTTTCTGACTGTGGAATCTGCTTAACCTCAGAGTCCAGATCTCTCCCAATAAGGTTTAGAGTTTCCAGTCTGAATCAATGATGTCCAGTAAAGCTTATTTAGAAAAAACTGCTAGTTCTATTCAATCTGGTTCATCGAACTGAGTTGTCAAGAAAATTATTCTTAGGTGCTTTTATACATGCTTGGAAACAAATACTCATTTCACGCCTTCTCTCCTCTTCTCCACCAGCTTTGTCTGAATCCCTGCTAGAAACCAGAACCAACCCCACACCACATTCCTCTTGGGAGAGGCATCAGTGTGAGCCCAGCAGGTTTAGATGCATTAGCATGCCTCTTGAAAATCACTTCAGCCACAGCTCCTGTCCTTTACACTGGGAAATTATCCTCACACAAAATAGCAACAGGTTTCCCCTATTCAAATAATTTCCAAATGACTTGTAGCCGCAGTTCCTTTTGCTATCTGGTTTTCAGCCAATAAGACCCAAAGGTGATCTGGAAAGGCAGACTACAAAGGTGGGACCTGTATTCTACCGAGACAGCAGTGATGAACTTAGGAAACTCCTCTGTCAAAAGAAGTACACAATCAGTAAGGGGAAGAAAGATTAAAATAAGGCCTCCAAATAAAAGGAAAGGGAAGGAAAAAGGAAGTGAAAGCCAAATAATTTCTCAAACTTTAAAACAAAAGAACAAATCCACAACTTACTTTTGAATGACAATTGATTGTTCAGATGGCTCAGACCTCTCTTCCAAACTACATGGCTACCCCATATCCTTCTACTGATCTGCCTCCACTTAGCGTCTCAGTGACATCTAAAATTTAACGTTCCTTAAACCAACTGATCCATGCCTTCCACTCTGAGTGGTCTGCCAGAGTCCCTGACTCGGGACACATACTGCCATCCACCCTGGAAAGCTCAATCCTGGGGTCATCCTAGGTATCCCACTTTCTTTCCCTGCCCCAGATTCAATCCATGACCAAGTTCTGTCAACTTAAACTCCTACATTTTTCTAGAATGTATCCAACCCTCTCTACCTTTATGGCAACGACTCTAGCTCATTCTCCTAGGCCAGGACTTGCAATTGTCTCGAAATGGCCCCCTGGCATCTAAACTCCTCCTTAGTCCAGGCTCTTAATTTTCTAATGAAATATAATCATGTCACCTTCCTGTTTAAAATATCTTATTTTTAAATTTAAATACCGAGAGTCAGGAAAATAGTGGCTGAGCCAGTCATGTTATGTGAGCCCTGGTGTGAGTGAGTGTATGGAAAATTTTGAGTATGTGTCAGGGAGTGAGTGGGAGTGTGAGTGTCTAATTGAGTGAGGGCTCAGGAGCAAGTGGCCAGGGCTCTCCTGGTGAAGCGACTGGTGCTGCAGCTGCTTGTCTTGGACCCTAGTGATTCCTGGGACGTGATACCCAGGATGCAGAAACCGAATGCCCATTTTTTTTAAATCAATAAAACCCTTCCTGGGAAGAAGATGCTGGGAGAGACTGACTAAGTGGGGGCTTTTGAACAAGTGGCCAGGGCCCTCCTGGTGAAGCAGCTGGTGCTGCAGCTACTCTACTTGGTCCCTAGCACTTCCCAGGTCACAGAAGCCGAGTGTCTTTTTTTTTAACTGACAAAAGTTTTCCTGCAAAGAAGTAGTGGGGAGAGACTACCGGCTCTAGGCTCTGCCTCACCACTGCAGCGGGAGAGACTGCCAGCTCCAGGCTTTGCCTCATCACTGCAGCACCTGGCCAGACACTGGCAGTAAGGGCTATGGAGGAAGCCCAGAGGCAGAGTCCCACCAGAGAAGAAAAAAGAGGCACCCTGCCACCATCTTGAAAATGGAACAGGAGTGTGCTCTGATTTGCTCACCATGGAGCAAGAGACCCAGTCTCTGTGACCAGCAGATCAGCTACTCGGATGTTGATCATGACCCAGAGGGAATATCCTGAAACCACAAATTTCAGAGGGACAGGACAAGGGTTGAGTCTACCCTGATTCAGTCACAGGACAAAGAGTATGGCCAGAAAAGGATGAGGAAGACCTCAAAAGAGATCAGTGGTAAGTTGGGGCTGACCCCAACTTCTTCCCCCTCCTTCCCAGCAATCCTCTGAATGTCAGACCCACACAGTTGGGGCATGACTGAGTGGGACAAACCCAGGCAGATGTCATTCACAGTAGGAGAACTCCATTCCAGGTTATGCCTGGCTGGGGCACTCCCAGCAAGTACATACCTGGGTAAGAAAGAATCCCACAACTCCCCACCAGAGGGTAATCCCCCAGACCATACAAGAGGGAAAGGGGAGGCCTGCATTCCCTCCCACCCCCACTGTCCCTTCCCTAGTTCAGACATTGGGGAGAGAGTAAAAGAGGTGGAAGCTCCACAGGAGACAGCAGAGATCAGTCAAGAGGAACAATTACAGAAACTGCCACAAGAGGGCGGGGTTTTTTCTTTTTAATTATTTTTTTAAATTTTTTAAATTTTTCTTTGCCTGTTTGTTAGTATTTCTATTTTTAAAATATTTTTCCTTTGTGCATGAATGTGTATGTGAGGATTTGATCTGCATCTCCCTTTTTTCTTTTTCTTTCTTTTATTTTTGTTTTCTGTTTACGTGCATATATAAATGATTGAGTGTTCATCTTTCAGTTTTTTAAATTTTTTGCTGGTTTGCTTTTGCTTTTTGTTCTTCTCTTTTTTTATTTTTAGTTTAAGGTGTGTGAATATATGTGTGAGGGTTCAATGTGAATTCCTATTTTTTTCCTTTTTTTCCTCGGTCTTTCTCTTTTTCTTCTACATTTGTTTTGTGGTAGAGGTGTGTGTGTGTGTGTGTGTGTGTGTGTGTGTGTGTATGCACGCACGCGTGTGTGTCTGTGTTTAGTTTTCCTGGCATTTTTTGGTTTTTGTTTCACTTTGTTATTCCAGTTTGTTTTGGTGTGTATGTGTGTGTATGTGTTCATTTTTTTTTTTTTTTTTTTTGCTTTGGTTTCTGCTTTCATTGTTCTGTGGTTTTTTCCTTTCCTTTTTTTTTTTTTTTTTGAGTTGGAGTCTCACTATGTCACCCAGACTGGAGTGCAGTGGCTGCTCCCGGCCACTGCAGCCTCGACCTGCTGGGCTCTGGTGATCGTTCCACCCCAGCCTTCCGAGTAGCTGGAACTACAGGCGCGCGCTATCACACCCGGCTCATTTTTTGATTTATGGTAGAGATGAGGTCTCACCTGCCCAGGCGGGTCTCGAACCCGCGGGCTCAGGCAATCCACTCACCTCAGCCTCCCAAAGGCACAGGATTACAGGCTGAGCCACCGAGCCCAAATTTTTTGTGCATCTTATTTCATTCTATTTTTCTCTGTTCTCCTCATTGCTCTTACTGTATCTTGGACTCAGGGGGTACACACATGTACCCATTGCATCATCATATACAGTGGTGGTAGGGAGTAGGTTTCAGGGAACATATACCACAATCAGTGAACACTGTGATTTGCAAGTAGTTTCTGAGTCCTAGCTCCCCATCCTCTACCTTATTCCACTTTCAAAACTACAAGAGAGAGCAAAGTTTCCCACCCACAGTCCTGTTTCAAAACAGGACAAATCCAGAGCCCAGATCAGGGAAGAATAGAGGGCTGATCAAATATAAGAAGTGAAAGCATCTCTCACTGCCACTGAATAACAGAACTAAAGAAAAAGATCTGGCACAAATGAGGAGAAACCAGTGGAAGACCACAGATAATTTCTACTGTAACAAAGAGAAAACACCTGAAAAATCAGTCCTCAGAATCCAAACAAAGGAAGTCACCAACTACTGGAACCAAAATACGACAGGGATTAGGGAATGGGTGGAAAGAGTGAATAAGACTTAAGAAAGACAAGATGAAACACTGAAAGAACTTGTAACAGAGATTCTGACAACAAAAAATTTCATCCAGGAAATAAATAACAAGATGACAAGCATGGAAAGCACAATTAACCTAGCAGAAGAAAGAATCTCAGAACACAGAATTAACCTGATCTGTAAAAAACATAGAAAGAAAACTCAGAAAGAAAAAACAAAGCCTAAAAGAGATGTGCAATTACATCAAGAGGTTGAACCTATGCCTGACTGTATCCCAGAAGAAAAAAGGGAAATGGAGAATATCTTGGAGCAAGTAT